GGGGGGAGCTGTAAGTGGACTACAAACAGGCAGTAAGCGCTGAGGGTTGTGATTAGCCAGTCCAGTGATGAGTGAGGTGGGGCAGGCGGTAGAGAGAGATGGTGCTGAGAGACGCGTTACGTGAGCCACTCCAAAAATGATGTGAGATAGGCCCTGGGCTAGGCCAAAAAGTAAAAGAAGAGGAGAGCGTGTAGTGTGTGATTCCTGGTTCATTGAATTGATATCGTTGATGCTCAGGCATACGCGCGCATCCACTTCACCAGTTCTACAGTAGGCCTGCCGGCAAGATAACAGCACAAGTAACAAGACCGAGGAAAAGATGGCTTCCAACTAAGACAAAAGGAAATGCTTCTCACTCGAATTAAAGTCAGAGATAATCAGCCAAGTTGACAAGAACTCAAGAACAAGAAAACTAGTCTATCTCAAGCGCAAATTTTATTGATACGGAAGGGAGATAATCATGTGGATTTAAAGAAAATTTTCAGTAATTCCCCTTCGCATTCCTTTAACGGGAACTTGCCTACAGCGGGATTTTTCCTCTGGAACCAAAATCCCGCTATAGCCACGTTCTACTGTACATAGTACAGTCCACTGCATTAGTGTTGAACTCGTTTCAGTTGATCTGCGGTTAAGTTGGTCTATTTCTCGAGTCCTAGAACCTCTTCTTGTTTACAGGCCCCAACGGTTGAGTTGAACTTCGGATGAGGTAATCTTTTTTTCACATTCCCGACAACATCATAAACTCATAATCTGTAGTCAACTGAAATGGGTAATTATACATTTGCACACCATTTACATGCACAGTCAAACCTCGTTATACCGCCTATCTTGGGACGAGCATGAGGTTGGCGGTACAGCAAGGCTGGCTATACAACATAGTTTTCATGTCCTCTGTTAAACATGTAGCACCAATTACTGCCCAACGTCGAAGGAACTTGTTTACCAATCATCCTTCGGTCTGTCACTTAGGCTAGAGCGAGAGTTCTAATTAAATAAAAGCCCATCCAACGGGCATTCGCCAGCCTGTAAGCTATTTTGGGTTGATATCTTGCGACGCCAGGTGTTTTGCCGGGGGCCAAAGGGGCGCGGTTCCTTTCTAAAGTTTCTTTAGGCGGCTTAAAAATTTAATTCCAATTAATACGCGGGGAAGGAATTTTGATGCTGAATTACAATATCTTTTATTTTATTGTACTCTTCTACATTACACATTGTATTGCGTTCGCTTGCGACACAATACATCACTGTAGATCTATCTATATTGCCTGATGAAATCAACAAGACAAGGCTAGGGAGGTAGGGTGGGCAGGGAGCAAATCAGCTATAAACGCTTGATCTTGGCTCAGCTCATAGAGACGTGTGTGTGAAATATTTAAAAGCAACCACCGTGTGGATGTGCCGTGTGTGGACTGTGTACTTCTGACGACCAAGTTCGCTAACGGTACAACGGGGAAATTATACAATAGTTTAATTGGACCATACAGCTGGGACAGTTGGCGGATGGCGGTGTGAAGACGCGAATAGTATGTTCATGTAGGGAATTCTTTTCTTACATTGGCAAAACCTGGCGGTAAGCGGGGTTGGCGGTACAACTTGGGGCGGTACGAGGTTTGACTATATATAGCTTTGTTCTACCATACACGTATAACGAGTGCTTTACCATATTTCCGCCTCTGTGTTCCTCATTAAATCCTTCCTATGCATTGAGGATTCAAACAAAAGTTATCTGTATACATTGCAGTAGCCTAGAAGAATGATAGCCTATATGTACTGGCTTGGGTAAAGGCAATCCTTCTTTTGCAGTGTTGTGCTGGCCTTGAAAACATCTATAGCCTATTAACACATTGCATCACATCTCCTACCAAAAGCTCATTTAGCATCATCATCAGCCAGTGCCAGATCTGCGACAGACGTCGGCCATCATGGTTCTCCATTCATTATTATCATTCCTTTGCTCGGATGTTCTTTAAAAAAGCTACGTTTTCCTGATCTTTCCCCGGTGCCCATTTGTTTAGGTTCCCTAAGTAGGTTGCTGTGGGCCTACCTCTGACTCGTTTGCCTTCAATTTGGCCAGTAAGAGCTAGATGCTCAAGATCTTTGTCTATTAAGGTGTCCCAAAAACTGCATTTGTCGTTTCCTGGTTGTTTTTAACAGTGAGGGTCCCACGTGAGCTTCGCCAAGAACTACCTCATTTGATTCCTTTTCCTTCCACCATATTCTCAGCAGTTTCCTAAGAAACCACAATCTGTTGCTTCTATTTTATTTTCACTGTCTTTAGTGACTATCCAGCATCCACAGCCATATTATATAGAAGGGTTGACCGTACATAGCATTTCAGAACGTTCATTTTGGTAGTCATTGAGATGTTCCTATTACATGTACTATTTTTCAGGATTGGGCTTATTTTATTGAAACTAGCAGTAGCATTAGCCATTGCAATTCTCCATTTTATTTCTGTAGAAATAGTACATTTGGCATCAGATAGTGTATATCCAAGATATTTAAACTGTTGGACTTGTTTGATCCTTTCACCTTTGCTAATGAAATTACAAATAGGATTTGCTGCTCACTGGACTAAATCTCCAGTTGATGGACAGTATTTTCCATCCAAAAATCTCTATTATTTTGGGTTTTTTTAATGACAGGATTGTGCAACAAAAAAACTAGTCGATCCATTTTTTTTCTTTCTCAGTAAGCGTACAAGAAGGATAGCTCAGTTTACCACTACATTATGGTATATGCACTTTCATTTTACACATGAAGATACAGCTGACGTCACCCTTCTTTGATGTGGTACTGTCACCACATCATGTTTTCAATGAAAGAAGTCAGGCTTAGGTTACTTAACACCACATCCGTGTGAGTGAACTACCATACACATGTATAGATATAATCTTAGACATTCCCAAAGAAAGTATACAATCTTTGACAGTTCATCAAGATGGTTCACACTTCTTCTACCCAAAATACAGTAAAACCATGAAACTGACATGATCTTCACGAAACCAGAGAATTTCTTTGTGTTCAGCAGATTTTTTTGTAAGGAAAGTTCCAGTGCACAGGATAGGAGGGGACAAAAAAAAGGGAGATTCAAAATCTGTTCATGATAACAGGAATTTCATATTAAATAGCTTCAACTTCAACAAAGTCCACTGCACCTTTTTTAACCTTATCCATATGCCCTGGGGTCATTTTGTACTCCCGGGGTTGTATTCTTCACATTTTAGTTTTAGAATGCCTGTACTTCAAATGCGAAGATCTCTTTAAAACTTTCAGTATTTCTAAAAAAAATCATTTTGACAGACTGCTATGCAAAGCGTAAGGATCGGATTAATGAGTAAATTTCCTCTTCGGAAAATGGAGGCACAGAATTCCCCACGTTGTAGGAATACAATAGTAAAACAAGACGTACGGACAGGGTTAAAAAAGTTTGTGTAATAAAATTAAAATCCTAAAATGCCAGTGATGGCATATGTATACTGTGTTATGGCAGATTTGATATTATCTTTAGGGATTGGTGTAGATACTGTAGAAAGAAAAGGAGAAAAGATTGTTCTAAAAATTAAAAACAACTTCATCATCTGTTCTGTGGTGACATCTCTATAGAACTACGATTGGATTGTTAAGGAACAATCTTGTTACATTTGAAACATACAATCTTTGACGAACAACCACAGGTGACTCCAAGTTATCAAGGAGAAATCATCGACCCGATAATGGTCATTCATTTCTAGTGCTGAGAAAAAGTAAGACAGAAAGGCAAAAACAGAGGGAAAGAAAGGAAATAAGGCCTACCAGTAGTGCTCTCAAACCACCACCTGCCTATAAACTGTTTACTGTTTCAGCTTTTACCCTTACGGAAAATGATGTCAATCATTCTGAAGCAAATGAGAAAAAGGGAACTGAAATTGACTTCAATTTTGGTTGTAGAGAGAGCTTTATAGCACTTGCAACACAATTATGTCATATAAGCGCCAAAGATTAGATGTGTTACGACGAGGGAGTAACAAAAACAAGAAGATAGGGACAATAGATGTTTGATAGCAAAAAAAGGAGAAAACCACACCATAGCACCCACAGTTATTAAAGGTAATTGCAGCTGTTCTCCACATTCTGCCAAACCTGCAAGAAGCACAAAGGAACAGAGAACAAGATTTCAACAACGACACACAAAGTTTACATATGATTTATTTCCATGATAAAAATAAAAGAATAACTTGAGTTGAATGTTTAATGAATTATGAACCCCGTTTGGGATGGCATCAAGACATGGGACATCAGTAGGTGGAATCTTCATCTTTACACCTCTCATACAAGCAAAAACATTCTTGGACAGAAAACCAATCATTTGTAAGTCTGAATTACAACTGCAGCATAAGAAACAATAATGCTTTCCCAACTTGGTCAACCAAAGTCAACTAATTCACGAACCCACCTATCCAACATTAAGGGAAATGGTTTTGCCATGATTAGATGAAAGACAATTTATTGTAATGGGTTATTTCCCTCTGCCCAAACTTTGCGCAATTTTCAGGCTTCCAGCATTATTGTGACGATCACTCGCTGGCTCGCACAGTCGTTTGTGGGAGGAACGGAGATAATTAAAGTACAACTGCCAAGTGTGTACCGTACACAACATTATTGTGTACCTGACATCCAGTTCGCTGACAATGTTGCAGAGTACATTTTCAATAGTTTAGTAATGATCATAGCACCTTAAAGTTAAAGGGGCTAACTGTAGAATCCACTCAACCTGAAAGAGATTAATCCTAAAACAGCTTAAACCAAAAGAAATAAGAGTCCCAGACTTTCTTCTTTGTCTTTAAAATAAAACATTTAATTAGCTAAAATGCTCCTATTTCTAAACCGAAAAGAATCTTGAGGGTGCTGTCATCTCAATCTTCACTGGCAACCTTACATGTAACGCAAATGATCAAGTTTCAGAAACAAGAGAACACAACTTTTGTACAGATTTATGCCCCTTCGCTGCAGAGGAGGAAGCAATTTTCAGAAAAGGACTTTGGTAGGATCGATTTCAGAATTATTATTCTTCATACACCATCAGCATAAATGCTCAGATTTAGATTATTATCTACAGACAGAACAGTTAAAACTGACTGGTTAGAGATACAAGAACCTACATCAATCAACAGCTCTGCAAGTCCACATTGCTATTATAGTCTATGAGACCTCTTTCAAACAGACAGTATTTCCAACAACAGAAAAAAACCCTCTTAATAATGATTAACAAACTTATGAGGAAACTATCAAAAGCTATGTCCAAGAAAATAAACAAAGTTCTCATCTCACAATAAAGTATTCATCTGCATACATAGAAACAGACATCCATTTTATTCAAAAAATCTCATTTAGATGACAAATTTATTCAACCTGTACTGCAGGGTACCATAAAAAGCAAAAGTACAGAAATAACGAATCAAAATCATTTAGAAAATAATTCTTTTAAAAATTATGCCCTTGTATAAACAACTTACAAATTTATGGTCAAACAGTGAGAGGAACAATCATACACTTTGTCAGCCAGATGTTCAAATGTACTAAACCCAAATTTTTTATCTTGTAACTCAAATCCAGTGGAAACTGGGATTCAACGAAAGGAGATGGATTCCGTTTTTTTTCTTCAATTAATTAAAATCAATAAAAATAACAAAGATTCAACAAACACATATGAACATGCTCGGATTCAACAAAGTCACTTGCAGTGTGAACAGTCCCAGCTGACGTGGCTTTGCTCATTTTTCTCCCACTACAAACCGTATCTATTCCTGGAAACCATCCACGGCACCTGCATTGTCAGAGTCATGAACCATTATTCACCTAGCCTATTGTTTATATCTTATTCTGATGCAACCAATCAGCGGCCTTCTTTCATATCAACACAGGTGTGTTTGGCAAACACACGTAACACATGTTCTGCAAACAATACGTCATGGATGATAGATGACAGAGGCAGGAGTGCATTGATCAAATCAGCCCTTTTGCACAGTGTGCGCTTGGTAGAGTGCAATGTATTTTCCTGGAATTTTTCAAGCATTTCTTCAGTGTGGCATCAATGGCACAAAGATATCTCTTATTAAACCTTCAATTGAGGAAGTAAAAATATGGGGAAAAAAACAGGCATTTCAGGGTAGGTCTACCACTCATTACCCCCCCTTGTGCCTGGATCGATAACAACAACCCCCCTGTGCCTGCAGACTAATTATCTCTACAAAAATCTCTTGTTTGCTCTAACAAACACTCAGATTCAGTTAAATTGGTGGTCAGGCCTGATGATTTTGTTATCCAAGTTTCACTGTATTAATTTTTTTTTCTAAATTGCAGTTTCTTAGTCTGTGGTATTTGCTGCATACACTTGCAAAAGATTTTGTTGAAATTCTAATTCAAAACATTTTTTTAAAAAAGGAAAAGATACATAATATAGTATTGAATTTTTTTAAAGAATTGACCGGTTTTTCTCCTGAAAAATGTTGTTTCTGAGATTAGAACAGTTGAGCAGCTTGCCAACCTTTGTTATCAATTTGAAACAGCTTGTTGCTACATCAAAATGCCCTGGTGCATTCTCCGTCGTTTCAGAACAATTAACTGACAGCCTTGAGCTCTACCTCAAACACTAGTGTCGAGTTGGCTGGGATTGGACCTTGTTTCATGTTTCCATAACTGGGGAAAACAAACAAAATCAATTATTCATATATCATTACTGTGGTTAATGAGAGACCTATTGTAGAACATAAAATCTCAAGTCATCTTCACATTTACTAGAACTTTAGATGCTAGAAAGAAAATATTATTCCATAACTGCAACTGACATAAACCAAACATTACGACATAGGATCATTTAAACAAGCATAAAACTGCAAACAGACTGCAATACATAGTTCAGTTGTAGTCTGGTTTTTATGGCGCTCGCAACCGCATAAGGTCATATGAGCGTCAAGGGGTGGATGTCAACAGAGAAGTTCAAACGCGGAATCAGGCTTACCCTGCTCACCTCTCTAGCCTCAACAGCACAAAGTCTGCTTTGACTATCACGGCACCCCGGAAATAGCAGTTCACAAGAGAGTGAGAAACATACAAAAGAAATGGAGGAAAAATGACGATAGTCAGGATGAGGAAAGAAAAAGAAGCAGTTCCTCCCCTATGCTGTTCCGACAGTGTGAGCATGACATTGATAAATCAGCCCGTTTACAATTCTACTGTGCATAAGAACATTTAATATCCCCCCTTTGGAAATGGCCTGAAGACAACTTCAGTCAGTGGCACTGCCCTGGCGGGGGGTACCACAGAAAACAAGCTGGTGCTCTTGAAACTGGGACCAGACCAAATGTGTGGTAGCGGGGTGAAATCAGGCACTCGTCAAAATAATGAAATTAGAGAAATAGACATTTTTCTGCCCATTTGGGTTCAAAGATCTTTCACGTTCATTTGAAAATACATTTGAGTGCATTTTACTGGAAAACATTGATCAAAGGCATAAAAAATGTATAATTTCAGTTTCCAAGGAGACTCAAGCTTTGGAAGTCACCAAACTCTGGTAGTCATTGTCTCCCTAATTTTTACCTTTGACACCCGGTGACCCCCACCTTCTTCAATCTTAAATATCTCAATTTTTATTCAAGATTTTTTTTCATCAAAAGCAAGACTAACGATCAGGCTTTTAGATGACATCAATAACTTGTATGCCTAGAAATTGACCAGCAATAGATTACACCGCGTCATGACAACAATTACACGGAAATTAAGAAGCTAACTTAAGCTTTCCCCATTAAATGCCATGACCAAAGGGTAAGACTAGTAATTCAGAGGTAAATATTTAAAAATTAAGAGCATACCTCCAGACAACAGACAATATGGAGGGGGCTCTCGTGGCCTAGAGGTTAAGGTGTTGGCCTCTCATTCAAAGGTCCCGCGTTCGAATCCGGGTAGCGACCGAAAACATTTTTTCTCTAAAAATGTCTCCTTTCACCTCCTTTCCTGCTCTCCAGCAATGCTCTGTTGTCAGCTTTCTACCCCCACCCCCTCACCTACTTAGCCCCCTCCTCTGGGCTCCTGACTCTTTCTGCAGCATTTCTACTGCTACTTCTTGGCTCCTCCTTACTGCTGTCTTTCTGCCACATCCTTCTGGTAGGAAAGATCTACACCTAGCCTTCTTGGACAAGGGCGAAAAATCTCGGAGGGTCCGTGTGCAAGTTGTGCACGTTAAAGCTCCCTTGGTGGTCTAAAATCAATAAGAGTAGGCTTCGGCCGCCACCCGGGCAAAATTCAAAATTTCCTACCAACTGAAAATATTAGGTGTGTTCCGCGCGCTCATATGACCTTATGCAGTTGCGAGCACCGTAAAACACTTACCAAAAAAACCAAAACAAAGACATTATGGCTGTGGCTAATTATCAGCATTGTGCAAAACAGCTCTCTCCTCACCTCAAGGATAAGAAAATTATTACGCCGTAAACCAAAAACATTACAACAAAGTTCAGCACTACAATTAAACTGGACCTAACTTGAAACCTACAAACTGCCATAACATCCACTTACCCTTGGCTTGCAGGCACAGTAATCCTCCTCTTCCCACCAACTTTCATACCTGTGATACAGAGAAATAAACATGGCTGACTTTTTAGCATGATTTGAGGCGACCATTTTTAAAAACTGATGTAGCAACTAAATCAAAATTATTCAAAACACATTCCTGCACATTTCTCAAGTAGTGACAAATCATCTCCCACATGATAAGAGATGAAAATTTTCCAGTTTGAATAAACATATGTCCTTAGATCTTTCTTCAACAGCCCATCAAAAGTACAAATCAACTAGAAGACTTCAAATGTCCTATCTTTTACAGGCTTAGTACAGGCCAGGGAAGATGTATTTTCCAATTTTACACAAAGCACATGAAAGAAACAGTACATCAGCTAGAAATTTCTTAAGAACACTTCCATTTTGGCTGTTAAAAGTTGTGCATCATCCAAAGTTTAGGAAAACTTTTCTTCTATCAAATTAACCATACATTCACATTCATCCCTATTTCTTTGCTTCCCTGGCATTGAGAAAAGTGCTCTTGCCTGAACGTGTCATATTTCTCCACATAAATTACTCAACCCCCCCCCTCATTTCCTGACATTCAAAAAGAAAGCATGGCAAAACCAAAAGTTAAGAGAGGACAAACTTACCATTCACCCCTTTGTCCCATCCTTTAATCACCTCCCCTTGGTTCAGTCTGAATCGGAAGGGTTTGCCACCCGTGCAGGAGTCAAATCTTTTGTTATTCTTCGCCAAGGTGCCAACGTAGTAAACCGACACCTGTGGGAAAAGTGCAGTCAAATGAAATTAATTTCATCAGTTCAGATTTCTTCAAATAAATTTATGAAGAAATGTTTTAAAATCTACTCTCAATTATTGTGGGAAAAGATGATTATGGTAAGGCCAGTTGATACCAACTGCTGTGCAAATTGTGGGTGACATTGATTCACCTATTAAAGAGATATTATTTGAGGAGAAGTTGCACCACATATTTACAGTGCTTAAAAGTAAAAAAGATGAATTACAAATAAAACAGCAAACATGATTATACACACGTCGATTCCTATGTTCACCACAAAAGATGACCACAGCGACCTGAGCAAGAAATCCTTCACCTTGTCCATGCTTGAAGAAAGATACCCCTGAGAAGCATGGATAAGGATCTATACCGACGGATCTGCCACTGATGCTGTGAAAAGTGGAGGAATGGGAGTGTACGTACAGTTCCCAAATGAACGACGACAAGCAGAGGCAGTCCCAACAGGGCGACATTGTACAAACTACAGGGCAGAGACGGAAGCTCTAATACATGCAGCAAAAATCATCAGGAATGGGGTAGACCCCAAAAGCGAAGTAGTATTCTTAACTGATGCCATGTCAGTACTGCAGGCAATCACTGCCGGCAAACTACCAAGGCTACGAGAAGTAATTGAGGGCATCCTATGTCTGAGGATCATACTGCAATGGATTCCATCACACTGTGGTGTCTTAGGAAATGAGCAGGCAGACAGGATGGCCAAACTAAGAGCACAGAAAGAGCAACCAGACAACAGCGTCAACTACACAGAAATAAAAACTATTATAAATACACTATTTAAAGCACCACAGACACCAGATAGCAACCATGAGCAGTCCCGTCAAGAACAAGTGATTATCTTCCGACTAAGAACACAACACACAAGACTGAGACAACATATGTACAGATGTTTTAAACGAGTACAATAACCAAAATGCCTGTGTGGAGAGGCGGATCAAACTGTTGAACACATCCTTCTGCACTGCAAGACACACAGGGCCCTGAGACAGGAAACGTGACCGACCCCACGGACACTACAAGAGAAGCTATACGGGCCGACAGATGGAACTGAGCAGGATGGCCCAATTTATGACAGATACCAGACTTCAAGTGTGATGCCATCGAGAAGAAGAAGAAGAAGTCAAAAGACGGCAAATGACTCAAACTATAAACTTTCTGTGATGCCACCTCTACAGCCTTCATATTATAATTTCCTACCATCTTTCCTGGCTTGGCTTCAGGACCATGGCCAGCCTTCAGGTCCTCCACCAGCGTTCCCCCTGAAACGACTCTTTTCTTAGGAGAGTTTTGCCCAGAACTTGAACTTGGTGTTTCCGATTTGGACTCATTCTGTACAGAAAGCATGAAAGCATCTCCATTAATGAGAGAAAGAATAAATTCAGGGATGAAACTGATTTTGTGAAGATAACTGTAAATTGAACAAAGTTCGCTGTGCAAACAAAAAGACAATTAATAGACAGGTACACTAATATGGGGTTATACAGAAAACGATTGCGTATAATAATAACAGTTCTTCCAGCCAGATTTAAATGAAAATAACAGAAATAATGGAAAAATAGCATCCCTGTATATTTAAGTCACTGTTAAAACGATACAATGAAAACTTTAAAATAATCTTTGACAACAGTGATAGGGTCAAGTCTGAGAACATAAATTCACTTGACTGATTAATACTTAAGAAAAACACAACAAATATAAACAGTACTGCATGTAATTAGTCTTGAATTTGCAGTCTGTAAAATTAAACAAAGTGAATCCACAGACTCAACGGGTCTCATCTACACTTAAAAACTTCTATCCCTAATGAAAGGCTTTTAGATGTCCATTTTTAACACTTTCAATGTCTTCCAACAACTTGCAGTCAAAGTGCTTATTAACTTGTTCGTTCACTCACTTGAAAATATTAACATGGCTAGAATGCAGAACTTAGTGCCATGAAAATATGAAGCTCTCAGACATCAACAGGCCATCCAAACAAATAATTGACCACTTTAGGCAGACAAAGTGGTGAAGTGGGTCGTCCTTTTCAGGTATGTTGTTATACTCCATAACTCCGTTCTCCTATCTTTGTACACTTGGGTCAGGGCAGGAACATCTCCAAACACACATTTTTCCATTTTTATCCTACGTATATCTTATCTATTTGCTTCTACTTCACTTGTTCTATTCACTGGGGCGCATCAGGCAGCGATGGCTAGGAAAGGGTCAAAAGGTTACTAACTTAACGTTACCAATGTCACAAGCACTAGAAGCAATAAGAACCTAAATTTGACACGTTACAAGATAGCTGTCTCAAACATACCATGCTGCTGTTGTTCCCCGAGGTATCACCCTCATTGTTCTTCTTCTTCTTCTTCTTTTTCTTCTTTTTGGCACTGGTGTCTTCTCCATTGGCAGGTGTGGATGGCTAAAATACAAGTTTAAAAAATTGTTAGAAAGAGAATAATGCAGATCACATATATTAATACCAACAACAAGAGGACAAAACAATGGTTTTTATTCCTTAGATCTTCCATCAACAACCATTCCAGTAACTGAAGATAAAAATGAATTAGAAAAACCCTGAGATGTTACATGAGAAACAAAAGGCTTTTTTTCTTTTAATTTGTAACTTGTACTGACACAGCTTTTTAGAGTCAGTTATCACTAGGCATCTCACCTTCATTCAAAAAACATGCCACAGGTTGCAGAAGTAAATTTTTTGCGCTAGTGTTTCTATAAAAAATTAAAAATTTTAACATGCCAGTGTTGACTGTTAGTATAGGAGGTAGCAGTCTGAGAGCTTTGGTTCTCAGTAGAATCAATTGTTTAGAAAATGCACAATTTGTCTTAGAACATAGTTTGAAAATTATCTTGCTTCCTTTGTCTACCATTCTGTGGCAGCACTCACAGTTTCAGTTGGCTCAGGAGTCTTGGCATTCTGCTTGGGAGTTTTTTTTGGCGATGCATTCGGTGTTTTCTCTGTTTGCTGTGGTGTTTTCTTTTGAAGCTGTGCTTTCTGTTTTGCGGACTGAGGGGTTTCGATTGCCTTTTTGCCCTTCTTAGCCGATCCCATGTCCTCTTCCTCATCCTCATCATCTGAAAAATATTTAAAGTCTAAGTTACAGCTATTTCTAACTTCTCTACCCCCCCCATCTTAAACAAAATTTGACAGGGGAGGGGAGAACAGAAACACGTTCTTGACATCCCATGCACAAGCACATCAGTAGTATCAGGGGCAAACATATCAGGAATGAGACTTTTTTTCCAACTTGAGTCTAACAATTTTCCAATATGTCACCAGTAGCAAACTGACAACTTGTCTACAATTGTGCACCAGCCATTATTATACCTTCATGAAGGGAGAAAACACATTTTAACTCATTCGGGACGCAGGTTTGGGACCGGATTTGTACCCGGAGACGTGCGATTTTGAGTCAACTTTGAAAGTCTGCCATTTTTTCCCCTTTCGATATTCTTAAAGTCTGTTTTCACTATCTACGCATTCAACATTTGGACTTTGCCATAGATCTAACCTAATTTGCCTGATATATTCCTAAACTTGCCAGGATCCCAACAAAAATGGAGTATCAGACATAAACAAATTATTTTTCCCTCTAAGTTGACAGTGAAGAAAAGCAGAAACAAACAAGATAAAGTTATAACATAACTATAACGCAGTTAAAAACACATCCAAATACAATTTACAGTCCAAATACTGTGAAGAAATAGTTTCAGTCATTGTGAACAGTCCTTTGTACGTTTCTCCTCAAATATCCGTGTTCTTTGTCGCCTCGACTGCCTTCATAAATCGCCACAGAAAATTACAAAAAAACGACGCTATACGGTCAACAGTAAATAAATACAAAATGAAATATGGCTTAGCAATGTCAACCAAAAGTTTGTTCTCTGGAAAACCTTCATTTGTGCGGATACAACAGTCGAGAAATGCTATACGTCACGTGTGATGCGTCTTCAACGGAGCACAAGGTTATGTATACGTCCAATGCATCCCGAATGAGTTAATGCTCTTCAGCCTATACTTTCTATTAGAAGCATCTTCAAAAGCTCACAAAATGTAGATGGAAATTAACTAATTTTTCAGTATGTTGGGAAGAGGAAAATGGCTCAAAACCCACTGTGTGATTGAGTTCCTAATAAATACACTTCATCTTCATGAAATCTATTCACACTGAGAAAAAAAAATGTAGAAGTCTTACGCCACCATCGATACTATTTAGATCATTTAGGAGGCAGGATGCATCAACCCTCACTGACAGAGTCAACACGGGCTGAGAGGAATACAATATCCCAGCAGAAAGACTGTGATAGTCTATAACAATTGTGCCCAAAAAGCAATTTAACTCATGTTTTCTGCAGGCAACAGCATAGCGCCCTACTGTTGAACCACAGACACCAGTCTGAAGTGCTATGCAGTGATTCAATTTCATCTTGTGAGAAAACAAATGTTATACAAAAAGTATGAAATGAGTTAAGGTGGCGGAAAGTGGGACTAAAATGGTCGGTCTGAGCAGAATGACTGCTTAGTCCCATGTGAATGAATCAAGTAGGTGAGGGGATCTGACCTGAGTGAGTAATAATATTTCTCGAGATATCTCATCAAAGAACCTACTGCCTTCATTCAGGAGAATCGTCTGGCATCAAAATCATAACAATTGCTCATTCAAATTTCCCTGCCTGACAACTATATGGTTCTACACCAGGAATACATGTATTATTTACGAATACGAGTAAGAAATAAAATAAAAATGTACTAAAATTAGCCACCTGACTCCATAACTGAAATAATGTTACTGAAAAAGTGGTCAATTAGTATTCTCTTGTGGTATTCATTTTAAAATGTTTTGTGCCCCATCAATAATCAATATCAATGAACAGAGTCAGGTAAAGCTATGTGAAATATGTCCAAGCAGAAAGATATTATAGTCACTCAATACAATATCTTCCATGTGAGGGAAACTAAAAATGTTCAGACGAATAAAATCTATTACATCACTGACACCAGTTTTCTGTCATTTGTAATGCCGAACATCCAGGCCCAACAATTTTAAGCCTGAAATGTGTCCAAACTAAATTGTTTTGGAGCAAGAGATCAATACAGCAGGCATCAAGTATCATTTTTTTTAAACGCTTATTCCAAAAGGCTCACCTTCTTCACTGTCATCTTCATCAAAGAAAGAATCATCAAAATCGTCTGAAAACTGAGGACAAAAGCACAAAATTAATAATAGATAAAAATAATATAAATAGCATTTGCACAGCGCAAATCCCTGCTCAACAGCAAGCTCTATGTGCTTCATAATCTATACTCTTACCCCAGCAGACCTGAGAGCATTCTGAAACAACCTCAACTTCCTGGGAAGCATATACAGTACAAGCAGCCAAGATAACTTCACTGAAAAATCAGCATTCCAGGAATATACTTACATCCTCTTCCTCCTCCTCCTCCCCCTCCACATAATCATCATCATCTTCATCATCGCTACCATCTGCTCCCCCATCATAAGTAAGCAGCTTTAATTTCTTAGATGCTTTCGATGGCGATTCTGCTTTTCTTTTTCCTGCTGAAATAAGGCAAAAAAAACCCTCCATTATACACAGAAGTCACATGGAGACAATGAAACTAATCGAACATCTATCTAGGTCAGAGGTCACCAAACTATGGCTGTGAGGACAGTTCAACTGGCACGCTGCTGTGCCATTATGCAGGATAAAAAACTTGGATGATGAATTTGTAGCATGCTCCCGACCTGGTCACCAACACAGTTTAATCATTTCATCAAACTATCAATGCAAATTAAACATGCTTTTGTAGACTTAATCACTTCTAGCTGATGTACACTGCCAAACTTACTCAGCTTTAATGTCACTAATGTGATCAATCTTTCATTAACACACCAGTGTATCATCCAGAACAAAATAGCTATTCCATCAGCGCTTGACATTCTCTCGGTTGTCTGGCCTACATTGAATAAAGTTTGGTGATCCGAAGCCATACAGAGTGAAAGAAAAATTTTAAAACATCCACCTACACAAACCATTTTCGTTTCTTGAATTGTTTGCTTGAGGTTTTTTTTAAAAGCAACAAAAAAAAAAAAAAAAAAAAAAAGCACAACACAGTGGTCCTTAAGTGCAAGGAAAAAGCATGGCAGAAAGACAGAAATGAAAGAAGAACAGGAGAGAAAGACCCACCAGTGACAATGACATCTTTCAACCTCCAACCAATCTATCACAGGCAAGAAGTGAGTTTTTTTTTTACAAACAGATGTACATTTGGAAACAATGCCCATTAAGTGTGCAACAAGAGTAAGGAAGAAAAACATGGAGAGTAGACTAAACAAAGACACTCAAACCACCTGTGACAATTCTGAGCATGAACTATAGCTTCCCCTCATAATAAAGAAATGGGAGTCAAATCAGTACTTTAACAAAACAGAAGCAAATTGCCACAAAGCAATAAGAGATGGACCCCACACTTTCAGAAGAGAAGTTAGCACTAAGCTGACAATCAATCCTTTAGTAGTAAGTTCACAAAATCAAAACTAAACAAATTATTTATGGCCTATTGAAGGATGTTTACATAATACAATGGCTTTTACCCAACGTCAGTATAGAGTGACTGGAAAGGAAAGGCACTTTGAAGACAGATATTCCAGAACAAAAATTAACAAGCCAATGTGACACAAATTTCTCGAACAGCACCAAAAAAATAATCCTTCACAGTAACAGAAATTTAACAAAATACAAAGTGTTCGCAAACCTTGTAAACTCCCTGCTGGCACAAGGTCTGGGATATCTGAAAAACCAAAGAAATTATGGAAAAATCATTACCACAAAAAACAAAAATTAGCTGCTGAAGGGAGTTATAAGACAGATATTTTGAAAGAACTTATGCAAACGGTCAAAGGGCCAAAATTTGGCCTCCTGTTAGGGGAAATTGAGTAAAGTAAATGTTAGCTCTTGAAAACATGACTTGAACAGACAAGTTCAAAAGGTGTCTGCTTATTTCTTCATTCCTATCATGTATCAACTTCATCAAACTTTCCATAGCAGGCAAATGAGAGCTTAGCCAGTGAAGAGTAAGTAATTAAAAATAAGAATTGGAGCACACCAAAACTCCTTTCATTCATTTAGCATGACACAACATAAAAAAAAAGTACAAGAATACTGTACAAGGTTTCAGAGAGTTAAAAAACTCACTTAATCCCAAAATCCTAACAACAAACAAGATTTCAAATGAAGTATTCTTTTCAATGCATCTTACCTTCATCTGATCCAGAAAAAGATTCATCATCCATTTCACCCTCATATTCAGGCACAACAAAGCCAGTCAAATGCACAATTCCTGTGGAAATATATACAGCACTGTACTCCCCCACTGTGACATTAGCCTTTTTGAAAGGGAAACCCATGCCATACTCTCTTATAGAAGTCCTTACTGACAAACAGAAAAAAAAACCCACTTTTTTTTAATGAACACAATTATTACACGTAAATACAGTCAAACCTGCTCTAACTGCCTCATGCACAAGACAATCATCTGTGCAAATAGCCACTTCTCATTCCCTCCCTTGAGTATTTTTCACATGAAATGACTCTGTGTCTCCTGTCTAAGATGTCCACTTCTCTCCTCAACAATGGGAGGCTCTCTTAGACGGTTTCGACTGTATGTTAATTTTGTGGAAAGGGATGAGAACTAGTTGTTAAGGCTGGGATTACAGTGACACTGCACATCAGCCAAATCTCTCTAAGAACAGATGAAAATAATAAAGATGTAGACAAAGCAAGAGTTCATCATAGGGGTCCATATCAGCAGGAGGAAAACAGAGGGACCTTATAAAGGAGGGGAAAAGACAATGAGGCTGAATGAAGAAAAAGAAAAAAACAAGACGAAGAGTAGATATACAATTTAATTTTGTTAATTTCACTTACACAGAAAGCAGACCCTGTTTAATAATAGCGGATGAATTATATAGGCCCTACTAATAGTAGAACACAATGAGTAATTAAGCATGTCCTGAGACTGAAACAAACATCATGCAAAAGATTTTTAACTATCATCAACATCCTCTTGAAAAACAAAATCAAGTGAAAGTGTTCGACTAAACAATATCCAGCTGCGATGTAGTTTAGTAAAATTTCCAAACCAAAGCGCACCCGATTCATAACATATGCCCCCTTCACCTCAGTACAGCACACAAGAAGCAAGTAATTCAAAAAGACTTTTCTACTTTTTCTTTGAAAAGTGGCCATAAAAAAAGTGAGCAACGCCTCCATAGCACAGACTAAAAATGAATCACTGTCCTGTTTGTTACCAGTCACAACAAGAGTATGTATACCTGAGCCATTCAAGGAAAAGGAAACTTGCTCTCCCGCAGCAAAGTTCAGGTTGAGAGGCTGTTGCAGCAGCTTGCCATGTTGCAGGGTGCACAAAAGATATTCTGACGACTCATGTTGAAGCAGCACTTGCACAAACTCATTGTTTGACCCTAAACACGAATCGGAAATGTCAAAAATGAGAAAAGTGTCCAATTTATGCTTACTAAGAGAATATACAGTTACCAAGAATGCATCTACATGAATGGATTTGAAAGGATGCATGCACATTAATAAGACAATTTGACTCTTAAAAAAGAGCTAGAGATATTATATTTATATAAAGTATCGAAAATTCCTTTCCTCCTCCAATCAATCAATATCATCTGCATTTGTTCAGATCAGTAGTCTGAGCTGTGTTTATATCATTGACAAAACATTTTTAAAACACTTTTGAAAAAAACAAAATTTTCATAGAACATCGAAAGATTTTGAATGTGAATTTTTAAACTAAAAACATTCTTAGAAATCATTGTTGTTTATAAATATTCACCCGATTTGTTTTCCAAGGCAGCCATAGACAAACAGAAGCCTTGAGTCACTGTCTGGGAATATCTTTTCCCAGCATCAATGGTGACTCCTGAAATACATGTAAAAAAAATTAAAGAATGAAAGGATGGTTTTTCAAACTTTCTACAAAATTTACACACAGTCACATACCTTTGGAATAAACTGGAATTATTCAAGCAATGGATCGTTTCTCAGTTCTAAAACTTTAAGCCAAAAGCAAGCCTTTCCGCGACTCAAAACATTTGACAACCTCCATCCATTTCAAAATCCACAGATCATACAACATTTAACCATGACTTTGATTTCAACACTGTTAACAAGACATAGACAGCCTCTTGGCAACTAGAAAATTAATAAGAAAAAGAGTGTAGTCACCACCAGTTACCAATAGATTTCAAGCACACCTACAAGTTATATTTCAGTTATGGAAGTGCCTATTTGCAACGTCATGTTACGATTAGCGCCAGTGCTAAATAAAACGCTGCGTCGCCGTGTTTAAAATATCAAGCTTAATCGGCACATCGTTATCGGAAGTTCTGATGGCCGAAGTGACAGCGCGTCTGCGCTTGAAGTTGGAAGTCAAACCATTATTTTTTTTGCGTGGGTTCGATCCCGGCCCTAGACGGTTTTTTTCCCTTGTTATTGTCCTCTTCTTGACTGACCAACAAATTATTCCCATAATTATATCTTGATGCTTTGTAGGTTTTTTTTATGTGTAGTGATGAAGCGCATGCACATTCTGGTTTTGTTCCCAAGAGGAGCTCTGTACAAAGTAGGCCTTAGTAACGCATAGCCTATGATACTTTTCCTTTAACCAATTTAGGCCTGGTTAAAGTTCAGTAGTGGCTTTCCTTGGTCTGTGAGTCTAATTTTTTAATTTAAAAAAAAATTTTAGGCTCAGGAGAAGGGGAAAAAAAACAACCTTTCGGGACCGTGATTCGATGCCACGCTTGGAAGCACTGAACATTAGACTTAGAGAACGTAGACAGTAGACAGCTTGTATACGTTCTCTAGGCCTAACTTAAAGTTCGAGTTGCACCGTCTTAATTGTTATTGTTATCCAAGCGTCTTTCGACTTAAACTTGCTCAAACCTAACTCAGATGATCATGATAGATGAACAAGACGTCTACTTTTTTTGTGCAAACAATGTCAGAAACAAATGTTAGATCTAATCTAGATCTAGATCTAGATCTAGATCTTTCTAGTTCACATGCTGTAGAAAAACTAGATTTCTAGTCTTAACTAGATTTAGATCTAGAACAAATTTAATTATACGAAGTGACTATTTCTCCGAACGTTCGGAGAAATAGTGCCGATCTTTATTTCTCCGAACGGTTTCCGGCTTCCGGTCTCGTGATGTTTTGCCTATTTATTGTGAGAGTTCGGCGCCAACTTTCATTCTGCCTCTGATCTGGGAAGGAACACCGCATGGCAAGCCTGCCTACAGACAACCTTCAGTAACACCCACCACACACACACCACCATCATGCACATGTACACACACTAACTAAACATGACTAGTGGGCAACTTTTGAGCGTATGACGAACTGAGCGGTGGATGGAGAGACAGTGTGAGTGAAAGAGCGGGTGAAAGGAAGAATGTGCGAGAGTATCCACAGGCGGCAGCAACTACAAGACGACGACACCGACCCCCCTGGCCTGGTCCACAGCTCACGAAAGAAAGGAATGCAGCTCAGGCAGTGTTTTGCCTATATTATTGTCCATGGTTCGCAGGGTGCAAGGGAATGAGTAAGATTTTCTTTGTGTGTGCCTGGAGGGAGGGGGTGGGGTATGAAAGTCATGCGGAAAAAGCCCGAAAAACAAACACACACTCCTCACTCTCCACTTACTACCACACACAGACACACTCACACACGCACATACATACACACACAGGAGCAAATTTTTGGGTCTATATCTATTTCAATTTTCAAGAGCTAGTCTAGAGATTTTTAGATGAGTGTAAAAACGTGAAAAAGAAAGGTTTCACAACAGAAAGAAATCAAAATTAGAACAGCCCATAAACAACAACAAACATTAAAAAATAAGGGCGAGTGTCCACCTGTCCGAAGAAGATTGGCTGTTTTAACCCTAAATGTGCGTAATTTTTTTTAAAAAGTACAGGATATTACATGTAAATTATGGAATCACACACATTAAGGGGCTTTGCCAGTGGTGTCAGTACATTGGTCGCAGCAGTTCTATGTGTCGTTATCAATAACCCTCCGTAGATCTAGATCTAGATCTAGACTCTAGACAGCACACGAGTGAACACAACACATTACGTTTAAGAGCAGTACCCTTCATAGGCAACACGCCATATCTGTACCGAAAAACTGTTTGGAACTGTAGCATTTCTTTATATAAATATTTACTGAGGACATTTTTTGGACCGCTTGAACCATATTGTATACGAACAATCTTTGGTAGGCCTATACTATAATTATAGATCTAGAATCTATATAATATCCGAAATTTGCGAGAAAGGATGAGATTTCAGAGTGTTCGGAGAAATAGTGCCCAGCTTTATTTTCCTGAACGTTCGGAGAAATAGTGCCTAGCTTTATTTTCCCGAACGTTCGGAGAAATAGTGCCGGCCTTAATTTTAATTATAAAAGGGAGGATTTCAGTAACGAGCGACCACCCCATCAAACACAATAACGAAGAGGCCTAACCCTAACTTTAACCCCCAAAGCCAAACCCGGCGCTTTTTCTGTAGTTCCCACCCTGCACTTGTTATTCGCCGGTTTTGGCCTCAAGAGAGGGGGGTATCAGGGGGGCTTGCCTCCCTGTCCTAACAAAAATGTGGTGGGGGGTTTTCAAATTTTACCATAATTTGATGTTTTGCAGTTGTTAGGTTTGATATCTTAGCTCGCATTAAACATAGATCTCGATGTAGGTCAGGCTCAAAATATAAGGGGGGTGGGAACTACCGAAAAAGCACCGCCAAACCCTACCCATGGATCTACCCCTACTCCTACCCCTCAATTCTGTTCTGCCTCATCAGTGGTTGCTCGTTACGGAAGTCCTCCCTTATAAAATAACAACCTACATCTCTAGATCTAGATTATCTACATAATCTAGATCTAGATCTAGATTTAATAAATAAAGGCTAGATCTATATCTAGATTTAATAAATAAAGGCATGACATGGACCGGCATGGCATGGACGGAGGCTGCTACTAGGCCTACTGCTAGCTGAGAGGAGCCATGTGCTTTTTCAGTCAGTCACCATCCCAGACTGAACACACTTTAGAGTATAAAGTAAAAGAGAAAAATAGACAAATTGTGTAGCACACTGTTTCTTGAGGCATGCAATATGGATACATTTTGATTTTTTCAAGGATGACAGACAATCTCACCCCAAAACATGTTTGCCATGTCTCGAATTACCACCATTCCTTCTTTCGCATTGGCAATTGGAAGTGAAGTGAGTGAAGGCACCAAAAAACTAAGATCAATCGTGCGACTTCTTTCCGGCTTTCGCTAACAGGTTCCTGTTAAAGTTTTTACAAGACCAAAGAACGGCCCGGCCAAAGCGCAAGGCCTAGGCTATCTATTCCCACACTGTTGAGAATAGCTCACAAGCAATGAGCCCCAGAGCATTCGCTATTCCCAAATCATGTCGTGAATTTTTGTGTTCGTTCTCGAGATCAAGCCTATAATGTTATTATCTTGTATGAAAACCTTTTTAATCTATAAATAAGAGATTCTAACATTTTATTGTTTGTTCTGAGTTAAATCAGCGCTTTTTTAAATTAATTCTTATGAAGCCAACATTGTCTGGGGTTAATTTTCTTGTTGCATTGCAGCAATGTTAGGCCAACACAATTTGACATTGACAAGGTATAAAATTATGTAACGAGCCCAAGCCAAGTCTTAGGCCCCTGTTTCATTGGATTATTAATTGCATGCAGACAATAGATCTGAGTCTACTATTTAATATTTCTAAAACCAATTTCATGGTCAGTTTTATGAATGGGATATATAGGCCTATGCGACGTCTTATATTCAGAGAATTTCAGTAGGAATTAAAGATGCAATAAATAACCGCCCCCGCCTCTTTTTTCCCCAACTAAAAAATACATAATATGATAATAGTAATATAATAAAGATAAATAATTTTTAATATGCAATAATAACAACAATAGACAAACAGAACAAGAAATAAGAGAACCAAACACAAACATCCACTCAACCCAGACTTGATATATTTCTTCTATAAATAATATCACCGAATCCAATATAATTAGACAGCACGTGCTGAGATAATGTTTGTACGTGAAGCTACTGTGTAAGTTTTTTCACGAAGTATATTGGACAGTGTGACAGAACAGAGTTACGAATCAAGATGTGCAGGGGATCTAGCGACGTGGTCTGAATAGAGGTTTCAGTCTTCGCGTCTCATTCGGGTTCGAAACTTGACAGCGACGGAAAATGTTCGCCCCTAAAATTGTTTCCTTTCACATCTAACCATGTAATTCTGCGGTTGTTTTGTCTCTACTTTCTCCCCCCCCCCCCTCTCCCCTTAATTTGCCCCTATATTTGGTCTCGTTACTTAAAAATGGCTCCTTTCTTACTGTTGGCTTTCAGCAACGATCTTAGGGTAGAGGTAAGATCAAACACTAGCCTTCTCGTATAAGGGCGAAAAACCTCAGAGGCCCCATGTGCAAGTTGCGCACGTTCAAGATCCCTTAATTATGGTGGTCCGATATGACCGCCAGTACCAGGGCAAAATTCAAAATTAATTCCTACCAAACTGAAAATTAATGTTTAATGTATTCCGCGCGCTCATATGACCGTATATGCTGTTGCGAGCGCTGTAAAACACTTACCAAACCAAAGAAAAAATAAAACAAACAAAAAACAACAACCAAGAAAGTGCTGGTCAGTGAGCATATTGAGCCAACAAATGTCGCTCCAATCAACTGACTATATAAACGTCACAGACAACTACAGCCATGCAGACCCGGACAAGTTTATCGCACTGAGTGCTCATTGGGCGCTCTCGCGCTCGAGAATACCCAATTTAAAACTTTTTTAAATACAGAGGGTGTACTTTGAAAAGCAATCTCACATGGAGCTGTATATCTCTGCAGTTACGCCAGCCCACGACTAATGTGAATAGCATGGTTTGCCGCGGACAGATCAACCTGGTATCTCGCTTGACGTCAACGCTTGGCCTTGGCCACTAATGATCACATCTGCCTCTGATTCGACTGACGAGGACAGACGATGTGACGGGGAAAGATCGGGACATACCAGTACTTTTTTTAGGGGCGTCCGAGGAGTGATGGTTACTATGATGTCAATTCTCAAGGTACCAAAAGAAAAAAACCCCGCAAACACAAGCGCGCCCGCAAACACAAAAAATATAATAGTCTACAAAATGTACAATATATAATGCAAATCATTCACGCACACAAACACCCCTCCCCCCCCCCCCCCACACACACACACACACACACACACACACACACACAATTGCACCAAATCACTTGCCAATGAGACTGACATAATGTTATCTAACTACTGCTTGATCTCATGTTTTGAACATGATGAAGAATTCTGTTATACAAACACACACTGGCACACATCACTAAGAAAACTTTCCACCCAATAAGCAATTCTCGTAAGTTGGAGCTGTAAGATTTGTGGTATTCTGGGATTCCCCCCACCCCCTAAACCCCCCCCCCCCCCCCCCCCAAGGAGGAAATTGTTAAGACGACAGTTCTTTCTCCCCTACTAGTTCAGGGAGCAAGATATAGCACATTATTTTGTTTTGGGTTATTGGGAGGTGTTTTTTTTTTTTTTTTGGGGGGGGGGGGGGGGGGTTGTTGCAAGATGGACGTACAGAACTGCATAATCCCAGTAATCTGCTAGTTTTTGAGTGTTTTAGTTAGTTGAGATCAGGTTGTCATATTTCGTACAATTACACACTTGCAGCATAATATAGCCTATTATATTTTGCCTTTAGATTTACTTCGAGAATGAAAAAAAACCATCTTCTGCAAAGTGACAAGGGTGATAATAATATTTTATTATGATGAACTTGATCGATCGCACATATAGAAAAAACTACGTGCGTGCGCAAGAGATGTTAATTTTAAATTGTTCCTAACACACACACACACACACACACACACACACACACACACACACACACACACACACAATATTATTATTATAATACTCTCTCTCTTTCTCTCTCTCTCAACTCTCTCTCTCTCTCTCTTTCTCTCTCTCTCTCTCTCTTTTCCTCTCTCTCTCTCTCTCTCTCTCTCTCTCTCTCTCTCTCTCTCTCTCTCTCTCTCTCTCTCTCTCTCTCTCTCTCTCTCTCTCTCTCTCTCTCTCTCTCTCTCTCTAGTTTAGTTTGTGACAGTCAAGGTCTCCAGTTAAAGAGTTCAGCGTCTGAAGAATGTCAGATGCTTTGGTAGGGTCTAAAAAATCTCAATCTATCACACTTATTGAAGAGTGAGCAGTTTCTGAAACCAACTCTGGGCTGCTCAGGCTGGCGCAATCAATGTGGCAAAGGCTTTGTCTTATGTGATTTTGTTGATGGCCTGATTTATGAAGCGAATTGGCGGATTGGTAAAATAACATTGTTCCTCCCTAACCTGTCCAAGACTGACTGAAAGCGTCTACCACATGTCAGCGGGTCTAAAAAACGACTGTTGTACAAGGGAAGCTATGCACTGAACATGTTTGCGAAGCAATTTCCACTCATGTGCAGACGCATTCCTGCTTGACCCATTTGCAATTACGTTGTTCACGTCTGGTTAGTGTTGTGTAGTGAGAGTAATGTTGTGTTTTTTTGCGAATGCCCATATATGTTGGAAGATATCTCTGTTGACTAACGGCTTGGGCCTCCCATGCATTCCAGGTATGAAACCGTTGCCACTTTAGTCCGAAAGTATTTGCACTTTGCGACCTTTGACAATATCTCTGAAATGCAGCAAAGTCAGATACACTGCCTGTATCTCTCTATAGTTGAACATTCCTGGACTGTAATACTTACTATCCAATACTGCCAAAAGCCTTGGGTTTGGTACTCAGTGTTTGCAATAGTGCCCCCAGTTGTGAGCGCCATAAAACTCTTACTAAATAAAAACCTATTTGCGCGACATTGGATGCGATTTGCTTCACCGGTTCAAACGCTTCTAGTGTGGAGTAAGTTCGACCGTTCCAAGGGGATAAGGAATCGTACCATCATTCCAGGTCTCTTCCCGATGTTTCAGCAAGCATCAGTTCACCAAGAAGGTCTTTAGCTAAGCACTCTATACAAGTTTCGTATAAGGGGTTTTGAGGGTCAGATTGCTTTTGTCATAGACGCATACTGTCCACATATTCGCGCTGTCAATGTGGCCGGACCAGTGCCTTTATTAAGATATAGGCGTCTAACGTCTTTTTTCAGCTTTTGGATCCTTTGTTTAGACACGTTAATCATCATTCATCACTGCATCATTACACGAGTGTGTTTCGATGACAAAACCTATGAACTCGTTAGAACTTGCAAGTTCTAAGTCAGAATTTGCAAAGTTAATGTGCCAACCAAAGTTCTTAGGTGTTTTCACCTCAAAAGTTGTATGCTCTGTTATTTGTCATCACTTTCACATATGATGAAATCGTCCACATATGCTAATATACGGAGTGCTTCATGTTTTCTAAAACGCCAAACAATGGTTCAAATTATTTTACAGAAGAAATATTGGCTGAAGTTTACACAAATGGGTAATGCAATGAACTTGTAGAAATAATTACTTCATTCAAATCCCAGAACCTCTGTGAAATCCTTGTGCACTTGAATATTTAAAAAATCTTAATATCAAATTAATGTCACCAGGCTGTCTTTGTGTATCTCTATGTTTGACACCGAATTGATGTCCTCAGACATCGGGCAATGCTGAGCCATCTGGTGCTTACATGCTTCAAGACTCCTCGCTGTTCCTGGCCATGGTATTCTTGGCATTTCCCTAGATTCATTTGGTGGACACTGCTTTTCTTCATGTAGGAGTAAATGTCAACCAGAAGATCCCAGAAGATCGGCAAGGGAACCTGGCAGTTTATCTTCAGCTTTCTCAGCAGCTAAGTACACTAAATATAGAGCACACCCAGACAGGAGACTATCAGGGTTCTTCTGTGCGAACAACAATGGGGTAAAGCTTAGCATTAGAGTTATTTGATCCATTTCTTGTAAGTGCGAATGGGCTGGTCTTCATCCTTTCCATATGGGTGTGCTTGTGAACTTTTGCGATATCTTTGATCATAGCAGTTGCCTTTGTGCACTTACCAGAGAATTTGGTAGCAATCAATGAATCATCAAACATTTCCTTGAAATAAAGCTTCTGTCAGTGTGTCAGCTGTATTGATAGACAAGTTAAGGTCAGCAATCAGACCCACCATTCTGATTTCAGTTTTGGTTATTTTCTCAGCAAATTCCTTCTTCTGCTCCAATTCTTCTGCACTTTGTTGAGGTTTGAA